TCACCAGCTGAGGTGGCTCAGCTGGCCACACTGACCTTGGCAAGCAGCACTCAGCTCTGAAATTAACCTGTCAACTAAATTGAAGGGGAGAAAAGGCAGCATGACTAGGACACAAACATCCATCCCCCACCCCCGGTCCAATCACTGACGTCAAGCCTGGCGTGGGTGGTATTAATCATGCCAGCCTGGTGTGCAGTTGAGGACAGCTCTCCTTCCAGCCCTTCCAACCCGTTCCTGGGACTGTTCCATCAGCCATGCACCTGCCGCTGGCCACAAACCCTCAACTCCCAGACAAGCACGGATGCAGGGTGTTGCCGATGACACTCAAAGCCAGAGTGCACCCTTTAGAACCCAGGCTTGGGGGGAGTGGGGGAGCCTTGTTGCTCATGTTTTCTTCCCAGGTATACAGTTCTCTAATCTCTGCAATGCTTCCTCCAGAGAAGCTCTCGCCATAAGATGGCCATTTCCTGAGGATTTAATGAGAATATAGAATTAATGGCCCAAAACTCTCTTTTCAGCCGGTCATTAATTCCCCTCAGGAAATACCCGTGATCTTTCATCAAAATTGCCTAAATTATAGACTAGTGATGCATGTCCTCACAGGTTTGGGGGGCTGGGGTTGGGGGGCTGTCATCCCTACTGGTTCCGATAGATGGCGCCTATCTTCATGTAAATAAATCACTCCTAAATCATTTTCCATTTCCCACCAGCGAAAACCAGAGGGTATTAAACAAACAAACAAACAAACAAACAAAACAAAACAAAAAAACCAGCAGGGAGTGGAGAGGACTCAGTAAAGGCCCAAACAGGGACATTCTGTCCAAGGGCTGTTCCCAGGCCTGGCACACACCTCAGGCTCAGACTGAGCCACAACACCAGGATGCAGCCAGGGACCTCAGCAGCACTCCTGCCTCCTATGTGCAGCCTGATCTGGGTGCTGGCAGCTAAGTCACGAGAAAGGTGGGGTGGGGGGCAAGAGAGCCCCAAGAAGAGAGCCTTTTTTTCTAACTTTTGGGAAAGGAATGGTATGTTCAGAGAAGACTTCCTGAAGCTGATACAAGTTTCCCCCACTATCCAAAAGTTCGCCTTATGCCCTTTCACTTTTACAAAAGACCTACGTGACTACTTGTTTTTGCCCACCAAAAGAAATTTAAGGAGGACTTTCACTTCTAGGAGATGTTAATTGCTTCTTCACTGTACCCCATTTCAGCTTACTGAGAAGTTTCATGGGCACGCACCACTTTTGGACTGCCAGGAAGACCTGTACTCTCTGTCGTCTTTCAGGCCCCTCCTGTCATTGGCCCAAAACATGGATTTATAAATAACAGGGAGAAGAGAGTCTTTTGAAAAACAACATAAGACCCTCAAGAGCTTCTTCTGGCAGGATGCAGCCCAACCACCAACTAACCACTTCTGAACTGGCTCCCGGTTTGTCTTAAATCATACAATTATCAAAGGGTCTGTATTAGAAGACTACTCTTCTAAGGAAAGATAAGGCATATGTATGCCTGACTTGCATCATACACCTCAGCTGCAAAGCAACCATGCAGATCTCTCCGACTGCAATCACTGAGACTTGGCACCATGACTCAGATGTGAATGAAGTCAGAAAGGTTGCTTTATTTTGGTTGGGAGTCACTGCCTCTTGATTGATTTGGCAGACTTGAATATTTTGATATTTGTCTCACAGGGTCTCAAAATACTTAAAGCCAGAGGTTAAAATGGCCATAATTCTAGGAGTGCCCCCCCCCTTTAAATTGGAAGGCTAAGGGAGCTCTGGTCCCAGCTATATCCTGACAGTTCTGGCTTTACATTCATTCGAGCAGCACACTGGATACTGAAGAAAGTCAATGAAACGATGGGTGCAGGGGAGCTGATCTCGACCTCTCAGGACGCTTAGAAGAGCTAAGCACATAGTAAAGGATTAGCTTTTACAAACTGAAGAGACTGAACTTTCTCCAACCCAGGCAAGATCTGTAAAACCAGAACAGTGTCCAACAGCTTGGAAACAACTAGCTTTGCTGCACAGAGGCAGGAAAAATGAACAAAACAGCCTCCGCCTCAAGTTGTATGGGAAGTGTGAGACGCTGTTTCTCCCACTCATCTGCCCCACAGCACAGTTCCCTATGCTGAAATGGGAGACTATCCAATTCTCAGAGAAACTGGGGTAGGACCTACCTGTGAACGCCGCTCCTGAAGGTACTTAGCGAACTAAAGAGAGCCCCGGCCAAAGGTGGGGTGCTTTTTCCCCTCTACCCTCCCCCTGAAGTACTGAGGTTCTCAAGTGTGTGCGTACACATACTGTATTTCAGTTAAACCGCGTCACAACGCGGCCAGAGAAGTATCACTGGATTCCAGTTTTCGTCGGAGCCCCAGAGAAGTTCTACAACCTGTGTCAGCGGGTTGGAACTCGGGGGAGTTTTGGCCGTAGTTTCTCGTTCTGCACCACCTTGCCTTCCCAATCACTATGAATACACTGACTCATTTTTGCTTCGATTCTTTACATCACACGAATTTTCTTCTCCTGAATTCTTTTTCCCAGAGGCAATGCGGGGAGCCAGCTGGACTTTATTTCCTGGTAATAAGAGGCCCCCACGTCGATGTGCAGACACTAAAGCAATCATCCCACTTTAAATAGCAGATGAGCAAGCCCGCGCCCCGGCCCCGGCCCCGGCCCCGGCCCCGGCCTAGAAACTCGCCTCTCCGTCGCACAGGCTTAGGGACTGACTGCGGGCTACGGGCAGGACCGGAGTCCCGCGGCGGGCCCGATCCGTAGACTCGTGGGGGCAACCGTGTAAACAAGGCGGGTAAAAGCGCCCGGCACGTGACTGTGTGTTTTCTTCTCTGCTTCTCCCGCCCAAGGGGGTGCGAGAGTTCATGAAACTCCTGCTGGGAAGCGGATCCCTCGTTTCTGCCAGAACCGGACCCGCTGAAACCTGAGACTCGGGATGGAGAGGAGACGCGAGCGGCCCCGGGGCCCCCGCCCGCCGACCCTCAGGGAACCCCGCCGGGCGGCGGAGGGCGCGCAGCCCCGCCCCCTCCCCGCCCTCCCCTCCCCCCCCTTCCCGCCCCCTTCCCGCCCCCGCCCCCGCCCCCCGGGGCGCGGCCGCCTCGCCGGCTGGCGGGGCTCGGGGCCGAGGGGAAGCCGGACCCCGGGGCGCAGCGGGCGGCGGGCTGCGGCGGAGCACACCCGGGCCTCGCGGGCCCCAGCGGCCGGCGGCGGCGGCATCCCCGGGGCGGCCCGCAGGGGGGCGCGGCGGCCGGGGGCGTGGCGAGCGCGCGCCGCCCTCTTCCCTGCTGCGGCGGGGGCGCGCGGGGGCCGGGAGCGCGCGGGGCGGGGGCGCGCGGGGGCCGGGAGCGCGCGGGGCGGGGGCGCGCGGGGCGGGCGGGCAGGAGCGCGCGGGGCAGCTGGGCCCGCGCCGCCTCGTCCTCGTCCTCGTCCCCGTCCCCGTCCCCGTCCTCGTCCTCACCCCGCGGCCGCCGGCGCCCCTCCCCTCCCGTCCCCTCCCCTCCCGTCCCCTCCCGTCCCCTCCCCTCCCGGAGCTGCGCACCGCCTGCCGGCTGACCCAGCGGCCCGCGCCCGCGCCCTCGTCCGGCCGACCCCGCGGCGGGCTCCCGGCGGCCGGCAGCATGAGCGGCGGCGGCGACGTGGTGTGCACCGGCTGGCTGAGGAAGTCGCCCCCCGAGAAGAAGTTGAGGCGCTACGTGAGTGCGAGCGGCGAGCGGGCGCGGCCGCGGGGGGCGCGGGGCGGGGGCGGGGGCGGCCTGGCGGGGGCGGCCTGGCGGGGGCGGGGGCCGGGGGCTCCGGGAGGGGGGGCGGGGCGGGGCGGGGGGTCGGGGGCCGGGGGCCGGGGGCCCGGGCTGTCGGGGGCGGGGGCGGCGGGCGGCGGGCGGCGGGCGCGCCCGGCGGCTGGGGCTGCGTGAGGCACCTGCACACCTGTCACAGGTGCGCCGCCGAGGGGCGGAGCGGGCGGCCGGGCAGGTGGAGGCTGCGGCTCGCTCGTTCTCCGCCGGGCGGGCGGGCGCGGCGGCACCTCCCCAGCCGGCCTCCCCGTAAACTAAACGCGGTATTGAAGTTTGCATCGATTGTTTTCCGAGACCGGGAGAGTTGGTTCCCGGGGCTCGGGGACCGGAGCAAGCCCGGGCGGCTTCGGCCCGCGGGGCAGGGGGCGCGGGCGGGGCGTGGCGGGGCGGGGCGGGGCGGGCGGCCCCACCAAGGGCGAGGCGCCTCACGCCCTTTCCCCCTTCCCTGCCTCTGCCCGCCTCTCCCGGGGGCGCCTGCTTCCTCCCAGTGCACAGCCTCTGCATCACGGGCAGCGTCAGCGGCATGTGCAGCTCCTGTATTAAGTGACTCATTTGTTTGTCCCCCGTCTTTCCCTTTATTCCGTATGTCTGTCACATACACCCCCACCCCACCCCACCCCACGGGGGTGACACTGCACTTTGGTCTGGTGCAAGCGGCCCGGGGTTTGTGCGGTCTCCGGTGCCCGGGGTCGGGAGAAATCAAGGCGCTCAGCTGCCAGGTGGTGGTAACCGCCGGTGTTTACCGGAATGGCTGGGACAGCCTCTCCCTTGTGGGGGAGAAACTGGCGACGTCCGAGGGAAGGTGGGGTACGGTCGGGAGCGGGCCGGTGGGAAGCCGGGCCAACCACCACCCCTCCCCAGGCGGTGCCTCCTGGGGTCAAAGTACTAGCTGGTGCCAATTACAAATCAGCCCTGGGCTACTTGCAGGCGTTTGGAAAGGGAAGGTCGGTAAAAGGTGTCAAGGCCTCTCCTGGGCGCCCTCTCCACTTCCTATGAAATGCCCTTGTTTCCAGCGACTCTGGGTGCTGGACTCCCAGGGATCATTCCCACAGCATGAAAGGGAGCTGTGGCCTTCCAGCTGCAGTGCATCAAGGGAGCTCGGAGGAGACCCTGCCCTGCCCTGCCCTGCCCTCCCCTCCCCTCCCCTCGGGCAGCTGCACCAGGGGCTGTCCGTGGGGGGAGAGGCAGAAGCTTACCAGAGTTTCCTGTCTTGGCTCCCCAGATCAGAACGGAGGGACTTCTGGCCTCTGGATTGAGGAAGTGACATTCTGTTTTTCAAAGGAAGTGTTGTTGGGGAGTGCAAATGTGTGTGTATGTAAATGAAAGCAGGCTCTTATTTAAATCACTTGCTGACAAGACTCTGAAGAATTTGACAATGACTTTTGAAAGTGGACCGAGATTCAAAACGCAGCACGGAGGAGGCAGTCAACTGTTCACCCCAGTGCTAAAGCCCACTTTTCAGGGATGCCTGGGAAGCCAAACTCCATATGATTACTGAGAAAGAGATTTTTCCCCTTTTCACAATCATCTCAGCTCATTAGGAAACGTGAATTTTTATATGATGTTAAGGATGAGTAATTTGCTATTAATGTTTTTATAAATATATATATATATATTATGACCCATTTGTTTGGTATTTTTCTTGAGCAACTTACCTCAGGAAAAAAAAAACACAAACAAACAAACAAAAAACAAGCTTGGAGGCTTTGGAGTCAAGCATCTTTTTCACCCATCTGCAGTACTTGACACCCTACAGTCATAGGATGACCTCAGCCTCTTTCCCATCCTCCTTGTGGCTCCAGCCCATAGACATCTGATCAAGCTAGTAACAGCTTTTCTTAGGCTTCGGGGTGATGTGTTCTATTGGTATGCCTGGAAGTCTCCCCTACTGTGGTAGTTCAATTCTCTTAGTTGAAACTGAGCTGATCTATCTAACCCCAGACTCCCGGGGTTAGAGTCTACCCTTACATCTTATTTTCTTTTTGCGAGTGGAGAATTTTTGCACCTTGTTTTAAGTTAGAACTTTGCCAGTTCCCTGTGTTCATTTAAAGACCCAGATTCATTAGAATCAATCTAGGAGGCAAGTAATTTCCAGCTCTGTTGCTAAACACACACCCCAAAATAGCTGCTTATTCTCATGTATACCATAGGCATGTGGTATTATGCATCAATAAGTCTTCATTATAAGAATATGTCAACCATCAGAGGTAAAGACAAAAGAAGCTGATGAAATGGATTGCAGCTACTTATAGTTAATTTTAAAAACTTCTCTCGAATGTGAGGAGAAGGTAGGTTTAAGGGGGGAAACCATTTAAAAGAAGCTATGGCAAATATTACCTGGGATCAGGTTTAGAGATTTTTTTTCATCTTTTTTTTCCAATTAATCATAAGAAAATGTAGGGATCTATTCAGTATTGCTCTGAACATTGGGGTAATTACAAAAAGTGACCTCTGGGAAGTGGTGAGTATTGCCTCTGGGCCATGGTGATACCTTTGCAGTGCAAGGCCAGCAGAAGGAACAGCCCTCCCATCGTGCTGTAGTATGCCTATATATGAGTGTGTGTGCATACACACACACACACACACAAGGCCTATATATGAGTGTGTGTGCATACACACACACACACACACACACACAAGGCTGAAGCCAGATTTTCTCAGAGAAAAACATTTTATGACCTACACTGCTCTGTAATTTTCTATTAGTTTCAATAGATTTAGGGGAAAAGATTGGTAGTAACACTGCCCTCTAGTGACTATTTGGAGAAAATTGTGTATTGGTTCTAATGAACAACTGCACCGAGGAGACTTTATTTCTATTAAATAAATTTATTTATTAAATGTCTCTCAGACACTGGATTAGATGCTGGGGATAAAAATTAAGCCATCCTGTCAGTCTTAGCACATGACCTTGCCTTCTCCACAAAGATCATTGAAGCTATCAGAGAGTGGCTATATGCACATACCACAACCATATTTCCAAATATACCTGTATCTGCATGGTTCCTTTACTTTTTCCCTCTTCTTAGAGTAGGTGAAGTGTCTTTATTTTTTTTTAAGATTTTATTTATTTATTAGAGTGCAGGAGTAGAGGGAAGGGCAGTCGCTCCCTAAGCGACTCCTCAGGGAGCCTGAATGAGGGTGAGGGTTATTGTTGCTGAGATAATGACTGAACTGAAGTCAGACACTTAACTTATCTGACTGAGCCACTCAAGTGCCCTGATGAGGTGTCCCTTCTAACTGAGCAATGCTGCTACCTGTGCTTTGGATCATATCCCATCCCATCTATTCGGATCATTATTACGTTTTCTATCGTGAATCTTCTGTCTTCTATCATTTACCTATTCTTTTCTATTAACGTGTCAGCATGCTTCCCTTTAACAAAATCCTCCCTCTCTTCCTTCTCACGATGCTTTTTCCTTTTCTTCAGGGCTAAACTTATTCATGGTGGTTTACACTGTTTCCATTTCTCCGGCCTTCTTGTCATTTGGCTCCAATCTGAAACCTACTTTGTCCTTTCACTACAGCTGTTCTCTGAAAGACACCAGCGACACCCAGGTCATTAAACTCAGAGGTCTGTTTTTTCATTTTAATTTCTTCACTCATTATTCATAGCAGATCACTCACTCTTTCTTGAAGCACCTTTCTCTGAAGTGATACAATAAATGCCCCACTTTTCCCCCTTTTTTGGCCACTCTAAGTCTCTTTTGCTAAAATGACCCTCTTTACCCAATCCTTCAAGTTGGAAGCTCAATTATCATTGCATACTTGTCATTATCAAGTTAAATTTCCATCCCGGAGTTGTGTTCTGAACTCCAGACGTGCAAATATGGTTGTTAACTGGACATCTCTACTTGAAGGCCTCTCAATCATCACAAACTCAGGACACTCAAACCTCTATTCTTCATCCCCCATCTTCTCAGTAAATGGTGCCACTGACTATCCACTTGGGACTCAATCTTCACTCCCTGTCATCCACTACCACACATCTAATCTTTTATAAAACCCATAGTAGTGCTATCATCTTAATATCCTTTTTTCTATACTTCTCCATCCCCACTGCCATGACTCCTAAGATTGTCATTTTAATAGTCATCTGTTGAGGACTTAGTCTGTACCAGGCACTGTGCCTAGACCATTGATATCTTCATCTTTTTAGCCCTAGGAGAAAAGATGTGACTTGTCTGATGTCTCCTGGTTTTGTCCCAAAGCCTAAGCTTTTTAAAAAAAATTATTAAACTTCCTACTCTGACATAATCTGAGATGCACATGTATTTGTAAAAATAGGAAAGAGAGAGATGTTTACTCTTTACCCAGTTTCTCTTGATGGTAGCACTTTGCAAAACTAGAGTGATATCACCATCAGGATATTGATAACGACAGAGTCCAGATACAGAACATTGCCATCACCACATGACCCTTCAAGTTGTCCCTTTATAGTCACACCCACTGTCATCCTATTCCCACCATATCCTTAACCCGTGACAACTACTAATCTGTTCTACATTTTTATATTTTGTTTTTTCAAGAGTGTTATGTAAATGGGCTCGTATAGTTTGTAATGTTTTGGGATTGGCTTTTTTCATTCATCATGATTCTCTGGAGATTCATCCAAGTTGTTGTATGTATCATTAGTTCATTCTTTTTTTTAACTACCAAGTACTAGTCCATGGTATACGTGTACTGTAATTCATTTGTTAAACTGTTCACTTATTGGTTTTATTTTTTTTTTAAGATTTACTTATTTATTTTTCTGAGACAGGGAGTGGGCAGAGGGAGAGGAGCACAAGCAGACTCCCCACTGAGCAGGGAGCCTGATGTGAGGCTCAATCCTAGGACCCCAAGATCATGACCTGAGCTGAAATCAAGAGTCTAACACTGAACCAGCTGAGCCACCTTAGAACCCCTCACTTATGGTTTTAATTTATATTTCCCTATGGCTAATGATGTTGAACATCTTTTCAGATGATTATTTGCCATCTGTATGTCATCTTTGGTCCTATGTCTCTTTAAGTCTTTTGTCCATTTTCTTTACAAATTGTTTTTTTAATTTTTTGAGTTTTGTGCTTTTTAAAGTTTTTTTTTTGAAGATTTAATTAATTTATTCATGAGACACAGAGAAAGAGTGAGAGAGAGAGGAACAGACACAGGCAGAGGGAGAAGCAGGCTCCATTCCATGCAGGGAGCCTGCCGTGGGACTCAATCTCGGGTCTCCAGAACCATACCCTGAGCTGAAGGCGGCGCTAAACCACTAAGTCACCTGGGCTGCCCTTTTTTAAAAGTTTTTATTTAAGTAATCTCTACACCTCAGGTAGGGCTCGAACTCATGACCTTGAGTTCAAGAGTTGCATGCTCCTCTGACTGAGCCAGCCAGGTGCTCCTGGACTGTTTTTGTTGTTTGGTTTTTTTTTTAACTGCTGAATTATGAGCATTGTTTATATGCTCAAGATACTAGGCCTTGTCAAAAAATATGGCTTGCAAATATTTTCTTCCAGTCTCTTTTCATCCATTAGGGTCTTTAACAGAACAAAAGTTTAAAAAACCAAACAACAGGGGGATCCCTGGGTGGCGCAGCGGTTTGGCGCCTGCCTTTGGCCCAGGGCGTGATCCTGGAGACCCCGGATCGAACCCCACGTCGGGCTCCCGGTGCATGGAGCCTGCTTCTCCCTCTGCCTATGTCTCTGCCTCTCTCTCTCTCTCTCTCTCTCTGTGTGTGTGTGACTATCATAAATAAAAAAAAAAAAAAAAAAAACAACAACAACAAAAAACAGAGCAAAAGTTTTTGATTTGGATGAGATCCAGCTATCAGTTTTTTCTTTTATGGGCCATACTTTCTTTTGGTCAAGTCTAAGAACTCTTTGCTAAGCTGTAGGTTGCAGAGCTTTTCTCCCTCTTTTCCCTAAACATTTTTTAGTTTTAAGTCCAGTGATCCGTTTTGACTTCGTTTTTGCATTAGGTGTGAAACTTACATTGTTGTTGTTGTTTATTTTTGGCATTGGATGCCCAATTGCTTCAGCACCATTTGTTGGCAAGGCCACGCTTCCTTTATTGAATTGCTTTTGCACCTTTGTCATAAATCAGTCGGGAGTTATCTGTGTGGGTCGATTTTCTATTCTCCATCATTCTGTATTTCTACCCTAATGCCAATACCCTGTAATCTTGATAACTTGAGCTATATGGTAAGTCTTAAAATCTGGTAGACTGATTTCTCTACTTTATTCCTGATCAGATTAATCTTAATTTTTTTTAAAGGTAAACTTGAAAAGTCAGCTCGTCATTAGAAAATGTGAACAGTGAGACGCCTAGGTGGCTCAGCAGTTGAGCGTCTGTCTTTGGCTTAGGGCATGATCCCAGTTCAGGGATCAAGCCCCACATCAGGCTCCCTTTGAGGAACCTGCTTCTCCCTCTGCCTATGTCTCTGCCTCTCTCTGTGTCTCTCATGAATAAATAAATAAAATCTTAAAAAAATGTGAACAGTAGTAAAGTATAAATAAAAATTAACTATAATCCCATTGGTCTTGAATTTTTCTTTAAACTCATCTTTTCAACACAGAATGTGAGTGGAGCAAGTATGTTTAATAATTTACCAAGCAGCTATTACATGCCATGTATCCAAGTTCTGGGACTACAAAGAAGAAGGAGGAAACCTTCCTGGAGAGGTAGCCAGAACTAGAAGCCAAGAGAAGAAAGTCTTCCAGCCAGCCAGGCTGCTGACAGTGAAGCCCGTGGCAAGGAGCTGCAGAGTATGTGTAGGGGTGCTAAACAGAGTGTGGTGTTGCTGGACCACCTGCAGGATGATGAAGATAGTGGGCTGTGAGACTTAAGAGGTAGACAAGAAAGAACATGTGGCTTCGTAAGAACAAGGGAGAGGGATAAATGGCCAACAGGTACATGAAAGGGTGCTCAACATCGTTAATCATCAGGGAAATGCAAATCAAAACCACAATGAGCTATCACCTCACACCTGTCAGAATGGCTGTAATTAAAAAGAAAACAGTAGGGAACTTCCTCAAAAAAATAAAAATAGAACTATCATATGATCCAGCAGTGCCATTCTGAATATATATCCAAAGGAAATGAAAACAGGATGTTGAAGAGACATCTGCACTCCATGTTCATTGCAGCATTATTCATAATAGCCAAGATATGGAAACAACCTAAGCATCTTTCAGTGTATAAATGGATAAAGGTGTGTGTGTGTGTGTGTGTGTGTGTGTGTGTGTGTGTGTGTGTGTGCGCGCGCGCTGCGCGCCTGTGCCGGGCTTGATATTTTCTGAATATTCTTCACCTGTGAGAAGGAAGGAACTCCTGCCATTTGCAGCAACATGGATGGACATGATGCCTGAGGACATTATGCTAAGTGAAATAAGTCCGAGAAAGAAAAATACTGTGTGATCTCACTTATATGTGGAATCTAAAAAAGCTGAACTCATAGGAGTGCCTGGCTGGCTTAGTTGGAGGAACATGTGACTCTTGATCTTGGGATTCTGGGTCAAGCCCCACACTGGGTGTAGAGATTACTTAAGTAAATAAAACTTTAAATAATAATAAATAAGCAAGATGAACTCATAGAAATAGTAGAATGGTGGTTACTGGAAGTTGGAGGAGCATGGGGGAAATGAGATGTTAGTCAAAGGGTACAAACTTCCAGTTAAAACATGAATTAAGTTCTGAAGATCTAACGCACAGCTCTGTGATTGTAATTAAAGTGTACCATATTGTATACTCAAAAATTACTAAGAGAGTAGATCTTAAATG